TCAGTTGCAGACAGAGTGGCACCTTGGGGTGAGGGGGAAGGTGGGAAGGGGAGGGGGAGCAGACTCATGAACCTCCTGGCAAGGTCATGGACCCAGTCCCTTCCAGTCACACTGGCCCAGGGACCACCTGGGGTCAAGTGGGAAATAGGGGTTCAGTTCCTGAGCTCCTGCTGGGCCGGTGAGATTGGAATTGGGCAGGTGGAGGTGTGTGTGTGTGTGGAGGGTGGGTGGTGAGTGGGAAGTGCTGGCCGCCGAGGGAAGGGAGGCAGGTCTGGCTAGGTGTCCCCTGTCAGGTGTCCCTTGGACCTGAGTCCAGGCCGGTGGTCCTCGGCAGCGCTCCTGAATCTCCCAACCTGGGGAGCGGTGTCAGGAGGTGTCAGAGAGGAGGGCTTTCTGGAGCAGGTGACCTCTTAGGCGGTGTGGAGAGCCAGGTGTGGCTAGCGCCAGCCTGTCCCTTGTGGGAAACTGACCCTCAAGCACTCCCGTGAGCCTGAGCAACCTTGTCAACGGGTTGGACTTCCTTCTGAAGGTGCCTTGAGAGCTAAGCCTGGGCAAGAGGTGGGCTTGCTGGGTGGTGTGACCATCATAGAGACTCTGGAGGGGCAGAGATGATTAAGGGCTCTGCGACGAGGTGGGTGGTTTGGACCCACACAGAGGTGCTTGGAAGAAAGGCCTGGGATCTACTGGGATCTCAAAGGTCGCAGGCTTGAAGGCTGCCTAGAGCAAGCAGGTCTCCTCCGCCCAGCGGTTTGGTCTGGCCTGGGGCTGGGGTGACTGGACGCAGGGTGGGCAACGTGTAGGGAGGAGCTTGGTCACACTGCCTGGAGGGAGGAGGACTGGGGTCCCACAGCCAGGACAGCAGAGGGGAGAGGCTGGCAGTCTGGAGAAGACCTGGAACCAGGCACAAATACCACATCAGGAAGAGAAGGTGGAGGAGGGTGGGCAGACAATTCCCCTGCCTGCCATGCCCCTGGACCCTGGGCTTCCCTCCTGGATAAGGCTCACTCCTCCTGCTGCATTTGTTATCCATCCATCCATCCATCCATCCATCCATCCATCCATCCATCTCCATTCTGAGGACCTATCAGTCGCAGTGGTTAGGGCAGGAGCTCTGGGGATATCTAGCTTCTGTTTGACCTCTTCCTGCTGGTTCCCATCCTGGCTCTGGCCCCGTCCTCCTGCTCCCTCTGTGGACATGTCCATCAGGCCAAAGAGTGACTGAAGTCACTGAACCCAGCCCACTTCCATGCTTGACACCTACCTACCTGTGGCCCACTGGTCCCACCTGTCCTGTTTTTGCTCTGGGCTCATGACGCCTCCTGCCAGTCCTCCTGCTCCCCAAGAGCCCATGATGAGAGCCTGTGGTCCTTGAGATACGTCATCTGGGGCCTTGTGTGGGTAGAATCTGGAGACTGAGACCCAACTCTGCCCTCTCCCTGTTCCTTGCAGGCCTCCTGGGGGTCTCTCGTTGCCTGTGGGCGACAGAGGGAAGCTGGGAACCAGCTGGTCCCCTCGGATAGCTGCTTTCAGCCCTGTGCTGGCCTTTCTGCTCACCCCCACATTCTTCTCTTCTTTCCCCAAGTGTTTGCTGAGAGCCATGCTGACAGGCTGGGGATGCCGTGCCCTCCTAGAACCTGGAGGGCAGGGCTGAGGCAGCTTGGGCACAAGGCACAGTGTGTGGAGCCACACTGGGTCCCCATGGCCACAGCCTAGCAGGGTTTCCCTTGAAGGAAACCTGCTAGGTCCTGGAGTGGCCCCACCCTCTCAGGCTGCGGGGACGCAGGCTGGGCCATGGGTGGTGTCTGCTCTTCCCGGCACCCTGGACTTCCTGGCGTCTGCAGCCCTGGTGGTAACACAGGTGACAGCTGCTCCACAGACCCCTTCAGACCCCTGGCCTGTCTGCTTGGAGCCCACCCCTCCCCCAGATCTGGAGTGGCTGCCAGCTGCCATCCGACGGAAGGTGACCCCACGACAACGGACCGGGTGCTCTGCCTTTCCCATGACCCCTGCAAAGCCAGGGTTTTTTCACTAACTGATTTCCAGCAGTGGATCACCAGGCCTTTCTTCCTAGAGCGTCTTAGTCTAGAAGCACCACGGAAGCCCGTTCCGTATCGCGACACACAGGCTTGCCCGGCAGACAGCTGGTGGTGGTGGGTGAGGTGCATTGGCTGGGGATCAAGCCCAGGCCTCCTGCCTGGCGGGGAGAATCCTACAGCTGAGGCACATTAAAGCGTTCATGCGGTCAGCCCGCCGATGCAGGTCCTGCTGAGCCGAGGGCCTGGCTTGTCCACGCTGAGGGGACCCACACAGAGGCCCAAGTGCCATTATTCCTACACATGAACCGTTTGTTGAGCAACTGCTGGGTGCCTGGACGAACAATGGTTAGCTCACTGAATGGTCCCATCTGCCCTCACGGGGTGATGCCCATTTTACAGATGAGGATACGGCCATGCAGAACCGCTCAGTGTCCTACCGAGGACACTTCTGGAGCCCCTTTGTGGGCTTTGTCACAAAAGCCCCGTGACAGGAAAGCTTGTCCCCTTCCCCAGCCGACCAAGGACCACTCAAAACCAAACTCACTTCTGTCCGGGCCGTCCCACCTTCCAGTGACCCCGTAGGGCAGGGTAGAACGGTCCCTCCGAGAAGATGTAACTCTGAGAGTCGAGAGTCTTATCTTTCTCTCCTGGAGAGAATGGTGGTTTCGCACTGCTGGACTTGGGGTTAGCAGCTCAACACAATAACCCACGACGCCACCAGGGCGTCTTGGGAAGGCCATTGGAGGTCATCAACTTGTGCTTCAGACGTTCATAGCCAGTCCCTCCCCTTGGTTCTCAGAGAGACTCCACCTTCGGGGTTGACACTCTCATCCCTCACACATCAAGTGCCCGGGGGAGCTTCTGGAATCACAGCCCTGGGCTGCGAGGACAGGCCACTTCATGACGAGGGAGCCCCACAGACGCCCTTGGTCAGTTCTGCTGGACCCTCACCTCTCCTTCCACCCCCAGGCTGGGAAGAGCCGGGGAAGGTGACCCCGAGCTTCAGCCTGCCTTCCGGACCTCCTGGGGGGTGACGCAGATTAGGGCTATTTCTGGCCTGGGGGTGAGTGTGCATAGCCCAGGCTATCGATCCCCAGTGCGCCCCGATTCTGAATTTTTAATGTTGAAAGTTTCTTGATTAGTTAGAAACCCACAACTTCCCGATCGAAAAAACCACACACCTACATTTAGCGGCGCATCTGAGAAGTTTCAAAATGACCAAACTCCCCGATTGATCGTTGGCAATGGCCAGGCTGCTGCTCTGTGCCCCCCGACTTGGGAGCATCAGCTGGGAGCCATCTGGGGCTCTGAGGATATTGTGGGGCTCAGTCCCTCTAAAGTTAGCTTAGGCGCCCCGGTGGCGTAGTGGTTATAAGTTGGGCTGCCAACCACAAGATCAGCAATTGGAAACCCCCAACCAGTCCGAGGGAGAAGGAGGAGACTCTTTACCCCCCATAAAGAGTTACAGTCTTGGAAACCCACAGGGCCAGTTCTACCCTGCCCTGCAGGCTGGCTTTGATTCAGAAATGGCTTGAGGACAGTTTTGTTGTTGTTAATATTAGCTCAAGTCAATGAGAACATAAACTTCTCGTCTGATCTTCCTCCTGTGTTTATAAGGTTAAGAGTTGGGTGGGATGGTGTATTAGTCTAGGTACTTTAGAGAAACAAATCCACAGCAACTCATTTATAAGAGAGTTTTATATAAAGAAAGTGTGCATCACGAAAACATCCCAACCCAATGCTGCCCAAGCCCACAAGTCCAACATTAACCCATTAACCCAACACCAGTCCACAAAGTCCTCCACCTCACAAAACAGAGGCAATGATGCCGACTGCAGGAGGAAAGCTGAGTCAGTGAACGAACAAGCATCTCAGCACTAGCAGGGGTCTCCACACGGCTGCTCCAGCACCCAGGGCTGCATCGGGATAGGTCCATGTGGCTTCTCCTTGGGGATGTCTTGTAGGAAGTCAATCTTACAAGTTGAAGCAGGGAACTGCTAAGGCAGCTGCACCCTGGTGTGACCATCACAAAGCAAGAGACCCGAGAACCCATTTATCCCTCCGCCTTTCAATTAACCCCACATGTGATTATCGGCCAGGCTGGCACAATTAACTAACTCAGATGGTCTGGCCTGCAGCCTCCTGGGCCCTGGCAGTGAGCAGTGAGGGGGCACCCTTCACTCTGCATGTCACCCTATCCACACTGTAGCTCAGAACAGGGCTGACCCCAGGAAAGAATGAAGAGGCATCTGTGTCCTGGCTGGAGCCCTGGTGGTGTAGTGGGTGACATGTTGATCTGCTAATCACAAAGTCAGCAGTTTAAAACCATCAGCCACTTTGCAGGAGAAAGGCTTTCTATTGCCATAAACAGTTATAGTCTGGAAACCCACAGGTGCAGGTCTACCATGTCTAATATGGTGGCTATGGGTCAGAATTGACTCGATGGTGGTGAGTCGTGTGTGTGTGTGTGTGTGTGTGTGTGTGTGTGTGTGTGTGTGTGTGTATTCCAGTTGATGTTGAAGACAAATTGGCAGATAGCCCCGGCCCCAGAGAAACAAGTACGTGTCTCTGTGGAATTCCCAATCTTGGTTGTGCTTAGAACCTGAGCAAGGACTTTGTCATTCAGGGGGGCCCGAGTTCCCTCTTGCTGCAAAATCATAGAAACGTCTCAAATATATTAAAATACGAAGCTGTTGGTTTTCCACTCATCCTCCACCTAGGTCTGGCCACTGCTGAGGACTGGGTTTCCATCTCTGTACCCCGTCCTCAAGAAGCCATGGTGGCAAGAACAAGGCTGAATGGTGGGTAGGGGAGGACTTCCCAGCGACATTCTCATAGGACAGGCCTGGCTGCCCTTGAAGGGCGAGGAGGTGAATTGTTCTGAGAGAGACGGATTCCTCCAAGCAGCTCTCCTGGTCTTTTGCTCACCAGGGCCGGGTCCAGTGTTTTTCTTCATAAGCCCCGTGGGACAATCAACGGTTGTCCTGTGAGACAATCTATCTGGATGGCCGCTTTAGAACCCCCTCCCCCCAAGTAGTCACCATAACCTCTGCTTTGAGTAGGAGTGTCCAGCAGAGCTGCTGTTTGGAGTGGACCTTGTCTTGGAAGTCACCCTCATGAGATTTAGAAAGTGTAGTACTGGGAGGAATGTGTCTGCTGCCGTCCACGGACCCATTCACCAAACTACTGCCATCAAGTCAGTTTGACTCTTAGCGACCCTGCAGGACACACACACTGTCTCTGTGGGTTTCTGACACGGTCCCTTTCATCACGATTGTGTGTGGAGATTATCCGGAAAGTTAACGGGTTATGGCGCATCAGGATCAGAGAACGTTAGGGGACAGTTCTTTTGTCTACGCTTGTCTTTCGCTAGCCCTTGGCCTCTCAGCCACATGGTGAGTTGGCCTTTGCCTTGTTTCGTGGGTCTTTGCCTCATTTCCTGGTGCAGTGCCACGACTTTGTCTCCTTACAGGAGTAAAAAGCCTCATCTTTCTCCTGTGGAACAGCTGGTTGGGTTTGAATCGCTGATATTGCAGTTAGCAGTGCAACGTGGAAGCCACGATGCTCCCACGGCTCCTTCCACTGAGCACAGAGACAGATGTAAACACCTTCTGTTTGGAATAAACTCGTGCATGCATGAACTGGAATTCTAGTAGCAATACTTTGGACTTACCCTTTGCCTTTTGAAGGCCAGTGGGAGCTTTGCAATCCAGAGGTGAGGTAAGGCCGATCCTGACTCTACGGAAGGAAGCTTCGGAACCCATCATCATCATCATCATCATCACCACCGTCATCATCACGCTGGCAAGCAGCATACATTTGTAGAATATGTGTCATGCCAGGCACTGCTCTGGGAACTGGATCTTCTCACAGCCTTAAGAGGTAGCATCCTGGGTGGGTTTGTGTCCCCTCAAATGACATGCCTGTGGCCATGGCCTCCTTTGGAAAGAGTGTCATCCTGATGCAATGTGTTGCTAAGACGAGCTCATTCTGGAACAGGGCCCTCATCCCAGATGACTGGCCACATGAGAAGAGAGCAGACAGAGAGGGAGACAGTCATGGGAAGGTAGAGGCCGACACTGGAGTGATGATGCCACAAGCCAAGGAATGCTGGGAGCCACCAGAGGATGGAAGAGACCAGGCAGCCTCTTCCCCGAGAACTGCCCATAGTACCATGAAAATAAATTTCTGTTGAATGAAAACCATGCCGTTTGTGATCATCTGTGTCAGCAGCCCCGGGAAACAAGTCTGGCTGGTATTGGGTTCTCTTATTCAAAGATGAGGAAATGGACGAGGCTTACTGGTCAGATAGAAACTGGTGGAACCCTTGAGGGCCTGGGTCACCCTTCAGGTCTGGAGGGTGAACTCACCCCCATGTCTCCTTTTTCAGCCCAACAACAGACAGGTCTGTAAGGGGAACAGTAACACCAGGGAGGTCCACACTCCTTAGAAACACCAACCATTTGAGACCCAAAGGGCATTTGCCCAGCGACCCCGTTCAGAAAGCTTAGGAAGGAAAGAGACATTGAGACAGGACACACAAGGGAGGACGTGGGCCTCAGAGATGTTCTACTGTGGGGGTTGCAATCAAGAATATGTAATACATGTGTGAATTGTAGGTATTCACTGGGTTCACACGGGTGTCATGGTGGCGGTGTAAACGGGAGCTGCTGTCAAGGAGTTCAAGAAGGGAAAGAATGATTTGAAACTGATGGTGGTAGCCACTGTACAATACTCCTTGATGAGACTGAAGGGACTATGGGGAGATATGATAGCTGTATTAACTTCCGATTAAAAATAAATCAGGGAAAAAAATAATGAGAAAGAGGAGGGACATGGAGCAGACGGCCAGGATGCACTGCTAGGTCGTGGCGGAGCTGAGATGGGCACTCAGGCAAAGTGGTTTCTGGTTGTGCCTGGAGAAAGTGATTGACTGGCAAGGGACGAGACGGGGTGGAGGGACACCTCTGGTGCAGGCCCCAGGTGGTCATCCTGCAGCTCCTGGTCAGCCTTCGATGCCATCGGCCCTGAGGACAGCAGCAAGGGACAGCACAGCCTGAGGGCAGGCTGGGACCACTTTGCCGCTGGACCCCACCTGTTGTCTGCTCTAGCTCAGAGGAAACCAAACCCACTGCCATCCAGGGGACCCCGACTCACAGCGACCCCACAGAACAGAGCAGAAAGGGTCTCGTAGGGTTTCCAACACTTCCCATCTTTACAGCAGACCTACTGAGAGACTAGTGGACACAAACATCACTTTTCGTGGTCGCACAGGTGGCCACCATGCATAGGAAGGATGCCAATGTGTGTGTTGGGTTTTCCAGTACAGATGTCAGATTAATCGCGTGCTGTATTCTCTCTGCCTTCTGATCCTCGTGGAAACATTCAAGGGTTAAAAAAATTAGGTTGTTAATAGTTGTATTGACAGACAACTCAAATGTCATGTACTTCAGTGGTTTGAATATATTAAAAAGAATCGTGCAATTGTCACCGCAATCAATTTCGAGCATTTTCTTCACTTTCATACTCACTGCGATTAGCTCCCCATTCCCTCCCCCAGACTCCCCCGCTGTAGCACTAAGAAACTATTAATCTAGTTACGACCTCGATAGATTGACTTATCCTGGATTTCATAGAAGGAAAATCTCATAACCCCGCAACAATAATACAACAAGGGAAACCCCAGTCCCAAAGCAAGCAGGAAACGGAAAACCAGAACAATTGAAAATGGGTCCAAAGGGAAAACGAGTGATCAGATGTTAAAATTTAACCTGCATTAATCCACTCTCGGAGGCGTACTTATATTCACATCCCAGTCAGTGATCGAGAGCAGGGCCAGTGGGTTATTTGCTGTGACGCTTCCAGCCAAAGTCCCTGGCTCCCACCGGACTAGGACCTTTCCCTGCACTGCTCTAGTCAGGAGAGAGGGGAAGATACTAAAGGGATTTGCCTGTGAGCAATTGCAAATAGGATTCCTTTGAGTGGTATCCTGCTGCATGTAAAAGGAGACCTGGGAGAAGCAGGAGGAGAAATCTCATTATTAGCAAGAGCCAGGAACAAAGCAGGTCCTTTGGACCCAGATTCCTGTGAGTGAACCTCCTGGATCCAGAAGACAATGATTCCATCAGAGGAGCAGCAGAACCGAGGGACAGCGTGGAACAACAGAGCGACGGACTTTGTAGCCCCACGATCTAGTCAAGACGAGTGTTTCCGTGCAGGAGGCTGGCTCTCAGGGCAGACTGCCTCTGGGGACTTCATTGGGGATGCTGGACTTGCTGACCCATGGGAGTGGAGCAGAGTGCTTTCAGGATGAGGCTTTCTGGAGTGGGGTGCCTCTGGGCACTTAATTCAGGGAGCTGGGTGTGTTGACCCACAGAGCTTAAGCCGAATGCTTTAGGGTTGACATTTACAGCCAAGTGGACTGCCCGTTGGGCATTCATGAGCAGGCTTGAAACTTTATAACAGGTCCTGGAAACAATTACCCTGAGTATTTTTCACTGCCATTACAACTGGTTAACTTCCTTAATAAACCCTGTGATGGGGAAGTTTGTCTGTGAGTTTCTGTGCAGCCATTGCAATGGCTTTAGAAACTAGAGGGATGAATTATAGAACACCAATTAAGGCAACAACACACTGGGGGCTTTCAATGGGGCTTAGTGTTCGTGGGGATGCTGTGAAAGGAGTTGGAGTTTTCACCGCCATCCATTGCCTGCTGCAAGCTGGGGGCTCAAAATTTAAGCTCCAATACAATTCCCTCCTCTGCCCATGGATTTTATATTTGAAATTCTTAGATCACACAGGCCAGTGTGCTTGGTCTGTTTGGGTATAGCTGACACTTCACTTAATGGCTGCTTGTTTTAAGATAAGTTTTTAACACCCCCCCCCAATGCTATTCTTTTGTTTTTAAGACAAAAAAACTCTTTTAAATTAAAAATAAGTTTTATTGCAATATACTGTGTATATCAGACAATTTAATTGTTCAATGATATGAAGATTTGTTCAATCATTACCACAATCAATTTCAGAGCATTTTCTTCTCATATTCATTCTTGTTAGTGCCCCATTTCTTCCATCCTCCCCTGCCATGCCCCTTATCCAGTTATTGCCTCTGCTGAGCTACCTATCCTGGATTTCATATATGCAAAATCACACCAAGCAATACAACATCATATAAAGGAAGCAAAGGGAAAACAAAAACACAACCTAACAACAACGACTAGACAAAACAGGAAAACCTCAATCAAAGAGACAGCAGAAAATAAAAAAACTGGCCTGGTAGGGCATGTTCAAGGGTAATGTAACTGAAGAATTACTGAAACCCAAATGAAGGCTAGCATGATAGTTGGACAAGAGGAAAGTAAAAGGAAATAGAGGAAAGAACTAGAAAGCAAAAGGCATTTATAGAAGTCTAAATAAAGGCATGTACATATGTAAATATATTTATATATGGGGATGGGGAAATAGATCTATGTGCATATATTTATAGGTTTAGTATTAAGATAGCAGATGGATATTGGGCCTCCACTCAAGTACTCCCTCAATGCA